AAAATGTAAATAAACAGATTTACTATGTACATACAAACATTATATTTTTTTCAAGCACCTCATTTATCATGTAATAGTTTCAAAGTTGTCTCTATCAATTTTATCAAATAAAATTGAGGTTTCATTGAAACATCCTGTAAGACGCCTTTCTTTATTAGTTGAATTTGTCCATATTCACGACAGGCTTTTATGTAGGTGGCGTAAGTGCGGGCAGTGGTATCCCCAAAGATATGGAATAGAGCAGAGTTCTTAGAGATTCTGCAGGTACTCATGTACAACATTATGTGACACAGATGAAATGTGTAATGTGCACTAGTCATCATGATACTTGACCTGTGGACTCTGGCATTAACATTAGTGATTAAAGAACGCCTCCTAAAATCTCCATTCTTTGAAATCAACTACTTCAGTTTTCAAGGAGGTAAGATGAAATGAATGAGGAAATTGCAATATAAAGTAAGCTTGTGATTTCTTTCCTGTAACATAACTTTATTAACACTAAATATTGCTTCCCTGAGGAAAAGATCCACAGTGTGCAAGGCTGGGATCAAGCACAGAACATCCTGCATGTACGGTTGAAGCATGTGGCCTGCTAAAGTTTTATGCTCCTTATGGGTGTTGCAAGTGCTGAAAAGATCAATCACTGTACTCCTTGCAGTCTGCTGTCAGTAGCTGTTGTGTCCTCAACATTGTGGCATCCCTTCGCACATTGTTCAAGTCCATGTGAGCCACCAAGTTAGGGGATGGTGTAAGTGATGCTGGCACAACCTAAAGGAGTGGGATTCAACAAAGTATGAGTGAATAAAAGCTCGCTTGAATGGGGTTCAAACCCAACTTTCTTTTATCGCATTCAAGAATGTATTGCACTTGCATTGTTTTTTTCATTTCAAATGCCAGTTTTGAAGGTGTGACAACATTCTGAACTGTTACAATCCAAGGGTCACCAAAAGACCACATTCCAATTAGTGTGAAGGAACGTACATTGGTCATTCACAAGATGTTCATTAACAGTAACATTTTATTCATAATTTACAGAAAAATATTAAACTTTGCAAATATGGTTTCATAACTACCCTTAAAAATAAATAAAAAACTAAAGGGGTTCAGATCTGCTTGGTTGGATTGGCCCAATTTGATCACATGAAAGATATGGCATCTGGCCAAGAATTACTTTTGACCAAGAGTTAAAATCTGACTTTATTGCTTCTGAATAGTTATAGCACGCATAAAATTCTGGTTACTACTCAACAAACATTTACAGAGGGGTTAACATGAGGGATTTTAATACATGTGAACAGCAACAGAAAAGCATGCATTGCAGTGCAATGTGGATTAAACATCCATACATGGAGCCAGGCACAAGAAAATGCTTGAAAATGAGAACAAAGAAAAAAATGAAACTTTTTAAAATTGCAACTTAAGAAATCAAATTTCAAATATTTAACACAGGAAAACTCAAGTCAATGACCAACTCAAACAACCATCTCAATGCACTTACCAGGACCAGGATTAACTTATGATGTGGACAGAAATTCAGTGGGTAGGCTAAGTTGGCACCTGCACATACCACAAAACGAAATACAAGGAGAATTACTGTGAAGTGAAAAAGAGTACTGGACCAGACCACAAGCAAACCAACTCATTTTTTCATATTAATTTTTACATTTTTTGTAGTTTTTGTTATGTTAATATTATCACCCCACTCTTTGCACTACTTCTACATGTTTATGATAAGCTGACGATATTTCAACTAAGCTGAAGCAGAAATAAGACTTTGGCATTAAAACCCTAATGTACCAATAGTCACATTTTATGAACTCACCTATCATGCCTACTATAAAACAATGTTATCTTCAGATCTTGACGATTCCTAACTAGGCCGACATAGTGTTGCCTCCATTCTTGTCGTTCGCATTCCGTTCTGCCTCGTCTTTTTGCTGTTTTTGGGCTGGATCTGGCCTCTTCGGTATACCATAGAAACTCAACCCACCTATTTTTGTCTTTAGGCGCTGCTTTCAGCAACTGCACAATCATTACCTGGAAATTTATGCCATTTTGAGGAGGAAATATCAACACCTCATGCACGCAGCACGATCATGTATACTAACGACAGCAAAACGGAAGTTGTCTGTGCCGGTAACTTCGGCACTTCCGGTTGACGCAAGATCGACGTGCGCCCGCTGGAGTTGGCAGTCCATTGTATTTTCTCCTTCAGGTCTATGGTATGAAAGAACTTGTTTAATGTGTCATGAATATTTACCAGATCCTATTTCTTATTATAATTATTCTTTACTTTTGTTATCTTGATTGACAGGCTTCTTGTTGGAGTGTACTTGAAAGGCCACTTATACACACTGTGTTGGTTTGGGGTTTCGGGTTTTAGTTTTTTGATTTAAGTCTTTTGAGTCATTTAGTCCTTGTGGTTTTTTTTCCCACACCTTTTCATTAATAAATTCTTTTTAAGTCAAATATTGATGTCTGAGTCCATATTAATTCAGTTTCCTGTGACTTTTCCTTCAAAGATCCCTAGTTTAGTTAGAGTTGTTTCGCGAGTTTCCCCATAGTGTGCCATTTTTCCCTGTTACAACCGCATGGGTGATTTTGCAGTATGGTAGAATGGCATCCTGGGAAGGAAAGGGGGCAATGTTTGCTCCTTTTTCCTTCCCACACTGCCTTTCTACCATTGTGCAAAATCACGTGTGGTATCAGCAATAAGGCTTTTGGCAAAAAGAAAAGTTTTGCAGAGGTCAGTGACTTCAGAGCAACTATAAAACATGTTTCCATCAGGATCAACACTTGATAGTTCTGTAAATCATGGATCTATGCCTATCAATCATCCAACAAAACTGCCTTGTGCTTCACCTAGATCATGGAGGTAGAATCACATGCCTAGATCAATTCACGAGAAGACATTTGAGCGAAGGAAATACATGTACTTACCTGACCTACCTGATTATCCATGCACCAGTCTGTCAGTGAGAAACCTAACATGTATCTGTATGATGCAGCTCGCCGTGTTGATTCAGGAATGCAGGCACTAGCGAAGGAACCGCCTGTATAATGGGTACACTGTACTGAAGTGCGCTGTACAATGTGCCCGGCATTATACATGTACATACTCCAACATTCCGCGGAAATCAACCATGTCAAATTTGGGTTCGTTGTCCCTCCATTTCAGGTCTTACATTATCAGTACAACCATGGAGGTAAGAAAAGATAAAATCAGATCAAGCCGAATAATTATCTTCCAGCCATGCCAGTAACGAAATCAGGTAACGGAGCTCATCCTAGCATGGAGGTAAGAAAGTCAGACGTACATGTACGATGATCACTCTCTCTCGACCAGATCCTAGTATTATACTTTTCTGAGGAACAAGGTCATGAAGGAAGGCCTACATGTACATGTATGTACATGTATGTACTGTACATACATAAAAATATGACTGTCAAAAGGTCCTGGCGTGCGATAAGATCGGACCAAGGGTTCACTACTACTGGTAGTTCCGCATTCTTGCACACATGTACATGTACATATTACATGTACTGTGCTGTACATGTACAATGTACATGTACATGTGCTGTACAAGTACGTGTACTGTACATGTAGATGTACATGTACGTGTACTTTACATGCACGTGTACACTGCATGCCCCGGTGGACCTATGGCCACGTGTGCACAGCACTGTCCGGTTTCTTCCAGGGCCCCTCCCCTACTACCACATTATGAATAATGCAATACTTTTCTGCTTGGTGTGGGTGTTTCCTCCGCAAAAGTTACATATTTATAAAAAAAACTATTTTCTGGAACCCCACCCCCTCTAAACGTTTATGAATAATGAAACAGAAAATTCGCCACATATTCCAGCTGCAAATGGCCGTAACCACACGTATTGAATCTAAAAGACGTCTTTATATAATAGCCGGACAAAAGGGAATTGGTTTTAGAGACGAAGGAGGATAGGGGTAAATTCAAAATCGAATGCGAATTCGGGCTTAATGAAGAAAATCAAACGGGTTGATAAAAAAACTCGTAGAGGAAACAGCGCCCTCAGTTTTCCAGAGGAGCATGGACTTTCAAAGAAATGGGTGCACTATTCAATGCGTTTGACCAAACAGGAGTTTGAAATACTTTTTATTTGAACATAAAAACTGTGCCTAAGAAAAGTAATTGCAGCTACTTTGATTTAGGAGGAAAAATATATGACAGGTCTACTGAATTAGGGCAGATCGTGGGGTTGCCAAAATGTTAAACAAAAATGTTAAAACAATATAATTTCTTTTATTATATTCTGTTTGTTGTTGGAAAACTGATTCTTTATAGTCTAAGGCAACATAGCTCACAAATATAAGTAAATAGGGGTAAGAAAATTAGGACATGTTCACTTTTAAGGGGAGAGGAAACTCCTGGACAAATAATATTAGTAAACCCACAAAATCGGGTAAGGATTGAACACACAATCCACACACTGTCCTCAGGGATTTAATCCTTGGTCACACAAGTGACAAGCACGACAAGTATCATTGTAGCAACCTGGCTCCACAGTCTACAAAGAACTTGCAATCATATTTATTTCGACAGAGTCTGCAACTGCAGGCGGATTTATCAGATTCTAACTGGACGTGCAAACAACGTCCAAAACATGTCACTACTTTCAGGTTTCAGAAGCTCAAAACGTTAAATTCTAAAGTTGGGTCGGGGTCAAGTCATTTTCCATTCAAAGGCTATGGTTTAGTTTGTAAGTAAAATTTCGAGGTGTGGAAAGCAGCGTCCCGGAGATGTTGCGCTTTCCAAAATAATTCAACCAATGCTGTTTCAACAGGTACAGTAATAACACTGTTTGAAATTCAAATGTAAAACAAGATTGTTCAAATATAAAATCTATTTCAAACAATGTTGATTATAAGCCTTACTAAAATAGCAAAATGAATTATGTTTCAACTTATTATTTAACAGTGCGGCTATTCTGGGATTAATGCAGCATTTCAATTTTTTTTCTATTTCAAATTACTTATATGAAACGGTTTCAGAGGGAGGCTGTCCACTCGAAGCTTTTGTTTCTGTTTTGCTTGGTTTAATACGAAATCAATTTTACTCCACTGAGAAATGGCGATTGCATCCGTGTGAAATAATGTAGTGATAGCGAATCACAATCCACGGAATCCTGCCTCAGTTGAATGGTGGATGTGCATCAGCTGACTGAATGACGGCAAAATTTCCGATCAGATTTCAAACTGAACTCGTCGAATTCATAATACAAACCAAGACTTCAATTTCAGTTTAGAAAAACTGCATAAGCCCTCTCAAGTTTGGGCTTCAGAACCTATTGTGTAACACGTTTTCTCAATTTTTTTCGGGGGAGGGGGGTTTTCTAGGATACAAGGACTGTCAAGACAATTATGTAGCAGTTTGAACAATAGAGGGCTCACTGTATACATGTAGATAGGCATGAGGATGGAAAAAGTGCCATTTTCTCCTTTTCCATTTTCTTTTCCAATTCTCATTATTTTATCGTCATTTTCTGAAATGAATTAAGGTGGTGTCTTATTAAAACAATTTTGTTCCACCCGACAACTGAATTACCGTGACGATTTAAGCAGAATGGGTTAAAATACAATTTAGTTTTGTATGATCATTTTTGTTCAACTGCTTATAAGATACGTTAGATTTTCATATAACAATACTGACTGGTAAAATTACAAATACCCGACGAAAGGCCGACCACATCTTTTGAAGGGTTGTGCGCGAAACGCCTCTTGTATGCACCGTTACAATAAATGCTGATAGTGCTCTCTACAAAATCTCACCCTAAAGTTTATCCCTTTCAGCACGGGATATGTTGATTTTTTTT